CTTATGCATTATGTCCACACTTATTTTAAGGTTTAGAAATAACCGCTTTGAAATAAAAATCTGTTTACTTTACATTGATTTGCCTTATGATTTTACTCTCTGACTAAACACTGAAAAAGGACAAATGTCGTTCAGATGAGGCATGATTGAGAAATTTCTGGGAAGGTCTGAAGGTCAATGGATTTATTTTTTTACCTGATCCTGTGAGGGGCTGGATTTCAACTGAGTCTTTGCAGGGCTCAGCGCATTTCTGCTGCAGCTGCACAGAGAGCTTTTTCAAGTCTGACATTCTCCTCTCGTTGGATGAAATTAAATTCTGAAGTTCACTAGAAAGAGGGGAGAAAATGAGATGTAGGAGCTTTATCCTGAGAAACTCATGTAGTAAAAACAGTGAAGCTCAAATGTACAGTCTTTTACAAAATAGATACGACAAGAATAAGAAAATAGAAACAAACTAGAAGCAAAAGTAACAAATTAAACACATTTGAAAATAACATCAAAATAAGTGTTTTTTTTCTTTTTAGAAGTGAGTTTGAGTTCCTGTGTCAATAGGCGAAAGAATTGCACCATGCTCTGTGCAGAGTGCAAACTGTGTGGGCGAGAAGGGTTGGCGTGCATTGACCTGAAAGCGTGGGTGGCTTGGAGAAGTAAAAGTAGGTAAAAGTGTCAAAAGAAAAAGTATGCAGTGGTCTCTTAGGGCTGGGGGATGAGGAGGGGGGGTTGTTGGTTTGTAACATTTTCTTGAACTAGTATGAGGTGAAAACACAATAGAAAAAACAAGCAAGCTGCTAATTAGTGGAATAGAAACAGTTAGTGCTTCTTCCACAAACTTTTACGAAAGAGTAGGCAAGTACACTTCACACATCAAGACAACTCATGTTACTGTATGACCAATAATTTAACCAGATTTCCATCACATGACCTTTGTTTACCATTTCTGACTAGTTTGAGTTTTGCTTCTGTGATTTCACATTTCACTTTTCTAAGTTTTTTCTTAGAAGATGTCACGTGTTGAATCTAGAACAATGTATTTTGATTTACAAACTATGCATATGTTGTGGAAGACATTTTTTATCTACAAAGTAACTTTTAACTATAGCTGTCTCATCAATTTATTTGATTTAAAAAGTGTATGAATACTAAAAGGTGCAGTCAGCTGTTTTGAACCAATACATTTTTGGCGCATTAGGCAAGCCCAGCCCTGGCTTTGTCAATGTGCAACAAACGTATTGACTTGGACAGAGCCACCAGAAAATATTCCAGCAAATCAGCAAGAGGAGGCGTTGGTGCTTATGCCTATGACAGGGGGAAGGCCACAGATGTATAAAGAGAAAGGCAGTGGAAGCGAGAGGGACGGTAAATGTTGACGGGGGTATTTGCTTTGGTTGAGTTCAAATATTAACAATCTCCGAATTACTGATTCTACATTTAAGAAGCTTGGCACTAAGGTTTGATGTTAGATTGTATAACTTAAGTAATACTAAGGTGACTTACTATATTTGCTGTTCCTGTGCGATGATGGTCTTTTCAAACCGAACAACATCATCCAGCATATTCGATGATTTTCTGTGGTATGGATCTGAAATAAAAAGCCAGTGTCAGCGCTGATCTTGAAACATTCCCCACAGTCCTTTAATACTTTTAATACATTAACGATCAGTTACTTAAAGAAGATGACACCAGATGAAGCGTGTTACCTGGCAGGGAGGTCTTCTGAGCTGACGTAGTAGAATCTTTCATGTGGACAACAGTTTCTTGGGCCCCTTGGGTCAAATTGGCAATTGTTTCAAGTGTCTCTTGCAAATCGTCCAAATCCCTGTCCACCTCCGGGAAATACTTCAGCATGTAATCCGTCACTGCACATGTTGTAGGACAGTACTTCCCCTAAATACAGACAAAAGAAGTTCAAATACAACATTTATAATAGTTTGCCCATATATACAAAGACTTACAATCTACATGGCAAAGATTACATCATTATTATTTGTAACATCATACTTACAAAGCCATCACCCATGTTGCATGATGCAAGGTTGTCTCCTCTGATTTGCTACACAGCAAAAAGAGAAAAAAGAATTTGATGTCTGTGTTCAAGTACACGGATGAAAACATTGAAATTCAGTGACTTACTGCTGATGAGAAGGAGAAAAGTAACAGGAGACCTCCTGCTGTTAAAACAAGTGATGGAGCCATGTTGCCTTTTGCCACCAGTTGTGGTTTTGTCTTTTTGGAAGAATGAAGTGTAGCTCGACTCGGTGGGATATTTATCTGAACAAGGTCCTCAGGTCATTGTTAGATAAGAGGTTCATCTGCAAACAACCAACTCACTGTGTTGACTCAATGTCCCTGTAAAACATATTAGCTTACTGTCAATAAAGACGTGCCAAGAGTACTGGATTGACACAAGACCACAACATGACCACTGGAAATACTCATTTTGAATTGGCTAGCAAATGTTAGTTAAAATAAATGTTTAAGAATCTTTAAAAAGTTCCCATTTAAGCTCCTAATTGAGTCAAAGTTGAGTTTAAAACAAACATTTTCATAGTTATTTGGTGATTTAAAGAAATTCTCTTTTTACTACGGCAAATTAGAAAATTGCGTGTTTCAAATTATATTCCCTAGGACAAAATGTCAAAGATAACACAGCAGACTTCTTGAGGCTTGATACTAACACTCAAAATGTATTTGATTAATTTTCTACAATTTAACTTTAACGGCTAAAATTCCAACTCGCAACTCTTCCCTTTTTCGTTTCTCTTCAGAAATTCACCAGGGTGCAATGTTAAACTGCAGATTAAACAGTACTTGATATAGTTTTTGGCTGCAACAGTAAATTGACAATGACACTGATCTCTTTTTTCCAGGTGGTTAATCAACATGGTTTATATTAAATGACAAAATATGACTATGAGCGCTCAGGTTTCATGGGGACACTTTCTGGGAGTTTAGCCACAAATTCTTTACAAAACATTAAGTTATTGATTTTGACTTCTTGTTTGAAACGGGGCTGCACTGGTGGGTAAGACCACCAGTGGGAGTGGAACCACAATAAGCCAAACAAGCTTATCAGTGAGCACACATTCAAAGTATATTCAAAGCATATGCCTCTTTTGTCCCTGAATAGAAACATCTTAGTTATAACTTAAACATAATTGGTACACTCTTTTCATGATAAAATACATGTATCCCCCTTGAAATGCTGCATGGAGATGTGTGTTCATTTGTGTCACAAAATAAAGAATGATGAATATTTGGAGTTATATTAAAGGTCCCATGTCATGGCCATTTCTACTGATCATAATTCCATTGTTGAGGTATACTAAAATAGATTTATATTGTGCAATTTTCCAAACTCACATTGGTTTCTCATACAGCATCTCTGTATAGTATGTGTATTCACTCTCTGTCCTAAACGGGTTGTTGGAGCTCCTGCCCCCCCCTCCTTATGAGCCCACTGTGCTCTGATTGGTCAGCTCGCCCACTCTGTTCTGATGAGTCCACCACCGTTACAGCGGAACATCAGTGATTATGTGTTACAATGGCGTTTGTTAGCAACCAGAAAATGACACCAGTAATGACAAACAGATGAGAATGCTGCGTTGGGTCTGGGTGCCGTGTTGGCGGGACGTTGCGGGGCTCGCTGCTGGAGCGGACAGTGTGAGCTGGCTTACTGGTGTCGTTTCCTGGTTGCTGCGGGGGATCTGCGAGACAGTGAGACACAGCAAAACCCAGCCTGAACCCAGCCCGAGCACACACACACACCTGCAGCCTGGCTGTGAGTCTGCGTGTGTTCTCAGAACGAGCCCAGGCCGAGCCCCACCGCGTCTCGCTTTCTCAGGCTGAGAAATCCGTGGAGCTGCAGCTGAGAAAAGATTGAGTGTGTGTGTGTGAGGAGGTCCGCGGATTGTTCCTTTACGTCACTATACCCAATACGTCACTGTACTTACTACACTATAAGAAGAAAACAATGGAAAAAGAAAAATCTCCAACGAGGCGTTCTGGGGCAGCATAAACAGGTATTTTCTGTGTTAGAGTCTTACTCGCTACAGGGTGTACTTTGAGGGTTTGTGACTCTGCAGACCGTTTCCATGCATAAAAAGCTACATAACACACAAGGGGACGGTTAATAACCGGAAAAGCATGACATGGGATCTTAAACATTAACATTTTAACAGAAAGTTAAAGGGAGATTGGCTTCAGAATATTCATCTAATTAAATAAAAGTGGAGGCAACGTATAAGTGATCATTTAGTTGTCGTAGGTTGTTGTTGAAGAACAGCTTCAATAGGACAAGTAATTCCAAATGTAAGGGGGTGAGTACTTTAATTAACATCTCTTTAAACACTTGAATAATCAATGGATCACATTAGGAATTATATGCTTTCTTCACTTCTGCTATTTTAAAGTGAGTGATATGAATGAGTAAAGTATGATATTTTGACATTTTAGACCGAGGAATGTTTGTTCAAAGCCAATTTACACTGGTTGTGCCACTTCAATATTTTGTATGCTGCAAAGTAACAACAAACCCAAATGGATAATTTTTATAAATTAGAGGATATTCTTCAGGACTCTAGACAAACTACTCTTTATTACATCAAAACAAACGCCAAAATAAAACTTAATAAGGCTTCACCTGTAGGCCACATGTTGACATTAGATGATAAATCGTGCCTTAACTACCTCTGTGTGACCTGGTTTTTATGTGGAAAAAAAAAACACAGTCCCAGGATGGATATAAAGCATTGCTGACCTGAGAATGAACTGGCAGGCCCATGAACCCAAACAGTGCTGAACTGTTGCTGAACTGGCCTCTTTGTGAAGAAAAAAACCAATGGAAAGAGTTTCTTTCTTCTCAAAGTGCCATGAAGACATGGACACTCTCTCCGCACATCGTGTCCAGGTTGTTGAGACGTGGCTTCAGCTGTTTTATATCGATGCAATCAGACAATGATGCCAGGTCACATTGTTACCTTGGGCGTACTGAATCAGAATGCAAAGCAACAGAGATGCAATTCAGAGTTATTAGTTTATTGCTGAATCATTGTTTTTGAAGAAACCGGAGGAAATACTTCAGTAATCAACTTAAGTTTAAGGCCTGAAAAACAATGTTAGCGTATTTCACAAGAGGTCTGACGAGGAATTCAACTTAAAGAGCCTTGTTAGGGTCCCCCATGTGTCAAGAGTCTGGAGTAATGGTGACCATGGTGTAAATCTCCCTCAGGGCAAAGGTTTGTTGTAATGCCACCAGGGTTCAACCTGTGGTCAGAGGCGGTAAGTCGACTGAGCTGAACGTAGATCAGCAGGAAAAACATGCAGCCAGGTTGACACTTTGTTTTCCACATACCATTAATGTATTTCTCAAGTTTTCAAATGAAGAAACTGATGTTACTCTTAATGTAAGCTAAGATTTATTTTTCTCTGCTTCGCATTCCATGTTTAATTTCCTTACAACTAGTTCGGAGTGGGTTCATTTGGTCTTTCAGTTCCATATTCTGATGGATGTGTAACTGAAGCCTACAGGATTAAGGTTATCTGGTCAAAGAATGTTTTATCTTGTCGTACTGTTCCTTTGAGAAGATGCAGAACATCCAGAACAGCCTGGTTTTTTCCAACACTGATCCCGATTATGGATGGGACAGAACAGACTCGCCACTGTGAGTCAACTAAGTCCTCCGCACTTCATTGTCTGGAGGGCAATCAGCTTTATAGCCCAATTAGTTTCTCATAGCAGTGGTCTAATCACCAAAAGGAACTAAGAAGGTGCACAATTCAAAAGAAGGCCGTTATTAAATTGACAACCATGAATGCTCACTGTACTTATACTTATGAGTTATTTACTTTAGTGTTTGCACTAAATTACTCCATTAGATTTCAGAGGGATATAGTGTACTGCTAGGGGAACATTATGCATAATAAATACACTAGTGGTATGCATGACTTATTGACTTTTAATTGTAATAGAGTATTAGAACACAGGTGATTTCAGTTTGAATAACTTACATTTATCAATGAATCTTATTGATGCAATTGTCCATCTGAATGCCTAATAAATGTTATTTTCACATGATATTATTATTATTTGCCCTTTGGTTGCACGTGCAGAAGGACCAATCGTGTCCTCGGGATATCCTCTGAACTTTCTCTCCTCCTCGCGACAGAAAGGATAAAAAGCTCATTTCCCTAAAGCACTTGAGGGTAGTTTCCCCCAAAACTGTTACGATGTTGCAGCTGTTTACCTTTCTGTTGGAGAAGTTCTCTCTTCTCTTTAACTTCAAACTGTTTGGGTCCAGCTGGTCGGACGGTGAGGACCGGAAAGGTCACGCGCTGCGCGCTCCCCCGCAGCCCCTCCGGAGGGGAGACCTGCTGGAAGTCCCCAGAACCCTTTTCACCCACTTCGGCATTTATTTAGGCGACAATAAAGTGGCTCACCTGATCCCCGACATCCTGCCTGTGCTCACACTCGACCGGAAGCTCATTGGTTCTGTCATTACAAACACGAGACTGATCTTCGGCGTCATCTACAGATGCGCCACGGTGCGCGTTGACACTTTAGAGGACTTTGCATATGGCTCCAACATACTGGTTAACCCCATGGATAAATTCATGAAGGATCAAGCATTGGCCAATGAAGATGTCGCTAAGAGAGCTGAAAAACACATCGGAGCCACTCCCTACAGTCTGCTGTGGTATAACTGTGAACACTTTGTGACCGATTGCAGATATGGACGTGCAGCCAGCCTGCAAACAGATAAGGTTGGTATAGTCCTAAACGCTTTTCTGACAATGGGTGCAGAATTAAATGTCTATGTTAAGTGTTGTTTTGGTTATTGGTCATTCAAATTATGCCATGTATATTATACTTTAAAAACGTATTTTTTTCTGGTGTTAGAAGAAGCTGTCTCCATTCGCAGTTCATCTTGTACTTACAGTGCTGCACATTCCCAAATAGCCAAATCAGATTATTCAAACCAACCAACACCGAGTATACTTGGCATGATAGAGCCTCTTGCACTTCAATGCCAAGTGGCTGCCCAGATTTGAGAAGTTGGCATCCTTCTGAGTTAACCTTCACAACTGTTCACAGTAACTATGTTTTTTTTTCCAGGTATCAGGCAATCGGAAAGGTTCTGTAGGGCATACAATGCAATTCTAAATAGTGTATAAACAACATTAAATAATTAACTGTATTTCTTTTTTTATAGTTCTGCGAATGCTTGAAATCAATCATCAGAGACCAGCGCAGCGTGGCTGTCACAGGCCTCCTGGGAATTGTGTCCATTATCTGCTATGGCATGGCACCATCAACAACATTACCCACAATCCTCATTACCTTAACTCTGTGGATGGCTGGTTGAAGAAGTGCAGCAGAAGGAACCTACAAACAATCAAACACACAAACTGAGCTTCTACTTGGCAAGGAGTGACCTGAAACCTCCTTAGGACCGTGCCCTCCTGTCTTATGGAGTTAAAACTATACATGTCATGACCTTTGAGTAGACGATGTTTAATGTTTTGTTTTTGACATGCAAATAATAGTCTCCTATGTGACTTACATTGGTTCTCTCATAAAAGCATTGGGAAAAATATATTTATAAAAGAATACAGATAGTGATTCACTTTTGCTAACATTACAGTCAACACACACGTTGACTTTAATTTAGTGTATTTTGTCAACAGATTACACATAACTGTATTAGGTATTAGAGTGCACAAAAGGAATATACAGTGGTACATTGACTACAACAATATCTAAATGTATTATATGTGGTTGGAATTCTCTTGCAATGAACTTAATATAATGTTGTAAATATGAAAAATGTTTAATAAACTATTTATTTTTTCTACTTGAGTGAGTGGACGCAGCCTACATCTCAGAACACATGCCAGTGAGAGCAAAGCCATCATATAGTATTTGTGATATTCAATCATATACCAGTTTTAAAAAAGTTAAAACGGAAGTCCATATAAATAGATTCTGCGTTTATTTGCTGAATGTCTGACGTAACAGTAGTATTGATCAATCACAGTTGAGAAGTCTTTGGTTAAATATTGTTAAAATTCTGTGTGGAAAACAACCCAGTCATACTCGTAATCATAACTCCGTCTCCAGTCTCACACCTCAAGTTGCAATTATAGTCAATGGGTTCAAAGATTGCTGAAACAATAACACAGTTTATGTGTAAATGTATAGTGTAGATGTGCTGCAAAAAGTTACAATAAACACATCAAAAGTAATGCTAATACAGCACCTATACCTTTGAATTTGACTATATATTTTTATTTTATATTGAGTTTCTTTTTTTATTTAAATCCTATATATCACTACTGTTTCTATAACTATGTGATTATATAAGTTTTCTAAATGTCTAAAAAGTGCTGAATAACGACGAAACAATGTTGTTATATTGTGGTTGGATTTCTCAATATCAGTAACCTTCTAAATAAAGATTTAACTTGTTGCCAATTCAGCCTCCTTAATGAGGAACCCTGACCTTAATACAACAAAGCCTGAGTTTCAAAATCCAACCACACAACGAAGTGATTAGAGAAAGCTCCTTTATTTCTGTCAAAATCTTACTGGGACATTGAGCAATATCTAAATCCTATTAACCGCTCTAGCCCCTCCCAATTCCCGCTAAAATAAAACGGGTTTCGAGCTGTTTACCACACACTGCCATCATGTTTCTTTACCAACTACTCAACATTTTCTACGTAGCTTCCCAAAAGGAGGAGGAATCTAAAAATGATTCGTCCCGTTACAAGCGTGGTGATTTACTGGAAGTCCCCAGGACATTATTTACACATTTTGGTATCTACTTGGGTGACAATCGTGTGGCTCATCTCATCCCGGACATCCTTCCTGTGTTTACCAAGAATACATCTGCAATTTCAACAATGGTATCAAATAACCGCTTGATGTTGGGAGTCATCGCTAAGGTTGCCAGCGTCAGAGTGGATTCCTTGGCTGATTTTGCGTACGGTTCGGAGATCCTGGTCAACCACATGGACAAGGTGTGCAGCCAGCCTCCTTTGGACGGGGACGAGGTAGCGAGAAGGGCAGAGAAACTCCTGGGCAAGGTCAACTACAGCCTACTGTGGTACAACTGTGAACACTACGTCATGTACTGCAGATACGGCATGTCCATCAGCTACCAGACATACCAGGTACAGTCTCTTGGCACCTGTCAGTAGAAAGATCAAAAAAATAAATCAGATTTAACAATTATTTCTATATTAGCTGTAAAAACGATATGCCTTTCTAACGAAACCCACATTCCACAGGCTAGGAAAAATGCTTGACTTGAACCAAAGCCAATAAGAGGCTTTAACAGGAAAACTGTTTCTCATAATTAGGTATTTTCCAGTTTCCAAGTTGTTTTCCTTTGACAAACCTTCTTCCCTGAGCTACAGTGGAAGGACATTAACATAGTTAGTAACTTTGGAAGACAGCCATCGTTTTCCCCCCCAAGTCAGACTGCTGAATGTATTGTATTCAAAATCGATTTTTGAATAGGACCAGGACTGTAAAGTGTGTTTCCCCTCATTTAAATTGGATCAGCATTAGTGAGGAATCTCCTTCCATCTGATATTATTGGAATATTCTATGAAGTATGGTTTACAAACTGTCTTCTAAATAGATGAGAAAACATTCGGACTATTTGTCATTGTTGAACAACTTCTTTCCATCATTCTTTTGAGAAATGATTCCGCTTCTTAACCCACTATCCAGTAATCTGACTTCTTTACAGGTATTACTGTGTTTGCACCCAGAGATTGTTGTATGAGAAAGGTCACATGCAAAAGCTAAAGGTTTAAAGTTAACTGCATGTGCATGTCAGTTGTTTTCCTGTGAAAAACAATGTAAGCTGAAACACACTTACTAACATGAGGATATTTCAACAGCAGAGTTGTTTCCCTCTGTCCACTGAAGTAAAAATATACTTTACTTATTCACGAGGAGAGTAGCTCCATCTAGTGTTACTTTGTGCCTAAATGACATGTACTGCCAAGCTAATTTGAGATTTACTTAGCTTCAGATCACTAATTCTCACACTGTTTCTTGTAGTTCTGCACAGCAGTACGGAAGATTGTTTGCAGCAGGAAGAGCTCCTATCTGACTGCACTGTGTGGTGTAGCAGTCGCGCTGTATCTGGGCTGTGTGACGCTGCTCACGGTTTTACCCACGCTGCTCGTCTCCTTCACCATCTGGATGGCAGCCTGATGTTATCTGGTGAGATGGCCCTCATGAGAAAGACCAGCGCACTGATGGGAGCTGAAATGAAGTCCTGCTGTTGAGCTGAAAAGACATTGGGAAAAAAAAGTGTTAACTGTAATAGAAATGTCAGAATTCTACTTTTTACCTTATTTTAACTGAAGTTGTATTTGTCTTTTCCTTGATAGTTTGCCGTCGTGACCGAACCTTTTGTGTTAGATGTCTAAATGTGTACATTATTCATCACTAATGTTCACCAGGCTCCGGTGTTCAGCATTTATCTTAATTAACAGTAGCAGCTCGTAGATTATATTTTGACGTTGACTCATAACTCCGGAAGACTGAGATAAAAATCAACAGTAATCTGGAAAGGAGAGAGTGACCTATGGGAACATGATGGTGTCTGCAGATGGAAGAGTTGCTAGGAATGCTGTGATGAATGTTTTTCAATTGTGATAAACATATTTCATGTTCTGGCTAAAAGGTTTACTTGGACAAAGTGCAATATGTTTCTTCTTACTTTCTCTGCTTTTCATGATTGTGCAAATGCTTTTATATTATCTTCTCTGCTGCCATCAGTGTACATTTTATTCCATTATATTTTTGTATTTCTCTGGTTTTATTTGTCTTACTGCAGTGTTGAAATGTATTAGTCACAGCTCTAAGATGTTAAGCACTTTGTAACCGCATGCTTTAAAAATAAGTTACTTCTTTACTTGCTACTAAAATTCCTTGATTGTGCCCATTTACACCCAGCAGTTTAAAAAAAAATGAAAGCACAAGAGAACAGACTATACAACTGAATACAGGGCTGGGACGAAAAAAAATGCCATAAACAGTTAAATTAGAGGTAAATATTTAGTTCATTACAGCGGAGAATAACTTTCTTTCGTCATGGCAACATTGGGAAACTTTCTTTTAGCATTTCCACTGAGATTTCAAAGCCAGCAAGCCAAATAGCCCTGTTTACAGATAACAGGAGATACTTAACGGTCAGCACAAATGTTTTATAATTTCTAGAAGATAAATTATTTCAAGAATAAGAGGATTAGTGTTGTAAATCAATAATCTTGCTGCTGTTAAAAGGGATTACATTTCAAATGACTGCCAACAGAACACACTAAGTGACAATCAAGGAGTTTATATTTATAAAAAAAGAAATGAATGTTTATAAGAGTTTAATGGTTTGGGATCTGTGTGTGCCTTCAAAGCTATTAAGTTAATGTAAGTCGATAAAACAGACATCAAACTGAACGGTTGAAAAATGTACGTTTGGCTAGATCCTTTATGATAGTTTAATTAATTAAAAACTGAAATTGGTATTGGAAGTCCAATGTCATTTATATAAAAGCTTTATTTATATATTTCACATTTGGGTGATCAAATATTTAAAATGTACAGAAACACTGGGTGCAACAGTCCACCTTACACCTTATCTCGCTCAATATACAAACATCTATGTAATTATCTCCAAATGAACTTAATGGAAAAAGATTGATATGATTGTTTCCCAAAGCTACAACATGTTGTAATCCAACAAAATACTCAGATTCATACTCATGCATATTTGTTGGTGTTTACACTTACTAAACAACATTTGAAAGTGAGGTAGTGAAATAGTGCAATAAGACTATAAGGAGCCTGTGACCTAAGATTTCCATCGTCATAACTACACTGTAGCTATGTTCGTATGACAAAATTGTCAGGTTTGGGGAAAATAGGACCCAAGTGCAGTTAAAAAATACAAAAGGTTTGTTAACAAAAAGCGAGCTTTATTATAAAAAGCCGAAGGCATGAAAAAACAAGAAACCAATTAACAGAAACACCGGGGAGCACGACAGACAGGAACAAACTTACAGACGGGAACAGGCAGGAGACATGGACAAGCATAGACGACAGGTAGCAGGGACATGAAATGACGACGAACAGACATGGAGCACAGGGGAAGACAAGACTAAATACACAGAAGGGTAATCACAGGACAAGACACAGCTGGGCAAGGGAGGCAGAAACACAAGGGCAACAGGTGAACACAATGAGGCACAATCAGACACACCAGGGAAACTAACGACAGGAAGGCAAACACAGGGGGTGTTTCTCAATCGCGAGTAAAGCTGCTGCAGAGCCACTATTTCAAGCATACTACGTCATCGAGTGCCGCCGAAGTACTGTTCCAATCTCCAGCATACTTGGAAATCTACCGAGCCCGGCGTACTTCGTAGCTAGAAATTTCGAGGCTGCACATGTGTAGACTCCGCGGTCTTAAAATCCCCACAATGCTTTGCGCACGGACCAATTTCCCCAAATCTGTGGCGGAAGATGTAAGGCGGGGCCGGCCTCTCATATGACGCACACCTGCACACTTGCTAGCGTGTTCCACTTTTCGTTTTCCGAATGCCAGGAAGTATTCTTGCCTCGCTTCTGAAGCAAGATGCTCGGCAGACATGTGCTACCAAGCAAGCGTACTCGCGATTGAGAAACACCCAGGGAGTAGGATCAGACAAGACACAAGGAGGAAAACATTTCAAAACAAAGGTGGAAAATGAAAACATAAATCCAAAACCATGACAAAAATAAAAACCTTGAACCTTGAAGGTCAAAAAAGTTTGTTCTCTATCTTTCCGCACAGAAAAAAAGGCAAACTAATGTAATTGGCTTCTCATCAGCAATTTAACAACACTATGAATTACTTAATAATAAAAAATAAAGACAGTAAAGACTGGATGAAGCGCTATATAAGAACAGTCCAAGAACCATAATATAATGACAGAAATTCATAGCTTAATTTGAAAACCTAAATAAAAGCTATGATCTAGATGGCATACGATATAGCCCTGTCTCCAAGATCACAAGCCAAATCATTCCAAAATCTTTAACAACTCTGAGCGAGCGCACACCAACGTTTTGTGAGCAGGCATATGGAGAACAGAGATGTGGAGAGACTGCAAACTGGTTTGTAATGAAGGATTTAAAAATCACTCTTCTCTCTGCTGACTAACGAGGCTCTGCGGGAAGTCATGCTGCTCCACCAGATGCATCTCTAAAGGCACAGTAGGGTGCAAACTGTAGACTATTTTTATATCATCCTAGCTGTGATAGATAGTGCAAGACTTTGCTAATGTTTCAAGATAAAGGAAATGCGCCCAACGGCAAAAATCCTCCTTGATCACAGGAAGTACATCATTCCCCCCCATACACGATCACCTGTAATTACCCGAATAAAGTTTGATTGAAGTTTCACACTTCAGTAACTAAGCCGTATCCATGTCAACCTAAAATATAGGTGAGATTATTATTGTGTGCTACTATTCACATGCATTTGGTTTTTAACAAGTTCTCAACCTAAGCTCAGATGAATCAAATAAACATCAGCACTTTTTCTGTCAAACTTTATATATACACACAGCTGCTGGACCTTCAGGATAGTAAGTTGTATAAAGTCACTGATGTCAAACAGCACAGGTAAAGACCAGTGCCAATGATGGATAATTGATTTTCCATTACACTTAGGCACAGATCCTGCTGAGAAGCACTATGTATTGATTCAAGAGAGGCCGATGTAATGGGCTCAAGCACCCGAGTTCTATTAAGCGGTGTGCAGGTGCAGAGTCCCCGCTGAGATTGAAGAGTAACCGAGTTTTGTCTCCTCTAACATTGACGGCTTTCAACTTTTAGCCTGGATTCACTGAGGGAAATCTGATTTTCATATCTTTATTCCCACATGGTGTCAAGGGCCTCCTTAATTTAGCTTCCAATAAATACATCAAACATGGATCACATGGCTGCTTTAGAAATCAAGTTTCTGTAAAAATAGAGTATGGATCTATAGCGAGAGCACAAATACACAGTCTGTCTCTAGGAGGAGAAGTAAGACTTGCTCGAAGCATAAACATGGTTACAGTCCATCCATTCGTACAGCAAGGGGCCATTACAGGGCACTAAAGCCACTAATGCACTCTTAACCCTGATAATTATTGTTGTTATTAAAATATATTGCTTTGGGTTTGCTAGTTAAGCTGAAGTAAATTTCGAATTCATTATTTTCAACAGTTTTTTCACCCATGACACAGCCTTGCGGGATATTACAGACCAAACATTTAAACTGTGAAATGGTATCCACACCACTGAAAGCCTACACTGACAAAACTCAAACGTTGACTTTAATTAAATCTATTATGTCAACAGATTTCACATAACTGTATTAGGTTAGTTAAAAGCAATAATATTAAGTTTAAATAAAAAATATTAGGTTCAACTTAACATTATTGCTTTCAACTAACCTAATACAGTTACGTGAAATTTGTTGACATATAGATTTAATTAAAGCCAACGTTTCTGTTTTTTCAGTGTACACTGAAAAAGGATAGCAATAATATTAAAGTGCACCTATCATGGTATTTTTAGGCATATATTATGGGTCTCAGATATATAAAAATATATAAAAACATGTCTATGATGTGTTTTGCTCAAAATACAAACAGATCATGCATTTTAGACATCCCTTACCCTCTATTCCAGCCCTGTTAGAGAAACTCGGATTTTGGGTCCTTAGCTTTAAAAAAAAAAAAAGAGGAGGCGGAGCTAATGCCTGATCAGAATTCTACCGGAGATAAAGTTACATTCTGCTGTGATAAAACGCCATCCTGTTATAAACCACATTAAGGATTATTTCTGAAACAGTATCAAATGCTTTTTCTCTTGCGGGTTTATCACAAGGTGAGTTCCTTTTTTATTTCCTGCTTTTTAAACACATGTGCTCGGCAGCAAATCTGTATACGCTCGTTGTACCCCCGTTTTTAAAAGATGTGTGACACACCGGGGACACATATTTATGTGTAAAAGACATCAAAAAGTGCATTTTGCATAATAGGTGACCTATAAGTTGAACCTAAACTTTTTATTTCAACTTAATATTATTGCCTTCAACTAAGCTAACACAGTTATGTGTAATGTGTTGACATAATACATTTAATTAAAGTCAACTTTTCAGTTTTGTCATTGTACTTATACTTAGAAATTAAAAAGCAGTAAGAGATGGAAGAAATGTAAAACATCTTTGGATATCAGTTTTTTTCAACACAAAAACATGACATTAAAGCGGCTTTAAATCAATACTTAAGGTGGGGTAGGTCATTTTGGAGAAACCAGCTCGAGTGCGCTAGAATTTGAAAATACACAACCGGAAAAATCTGCCACTTCCTTATAGAGCCCCTCCTCCAACACACACAACGCGCACATGACCAATGAGGGCACGAGATAAGTTTGTGCACAGATGGAAGGCTGACAGGCAGGTAGGCCATCCAGTTATTTTAGCCGGGCCGGCTAAAATGATTGGTCGTGCTTTTTACAGTACTACGGCTTCCACAGATGACATTTTATTTATGGATTTTTTGTCAAAGCACTTAAGATATTCATTGCTATCGGGATGTTAAGAGCATTCCATGGAATATAACAAAAAGTGTATCTCGAGCCGGTTTCTCAAACTTACCTACCCCACCTTTAAGCTAAGTTATATTTTCAACAGTTTTTATCTTGTGATTTTTCTTTCATGGAAATTATGGTAAAATTCTTGTTACTTTTGCGTGAAGGATTGCTCTCTAGAGGCACACCCAGGTTAATAACTGAGAGATGAACACAGATGAACTATGTAAAATAGCTTTATCCGTCTTCATTTGGCACTGACAGGCGGAAGCACGCTATTAAACCGCTTCGCCCGGAGCAGAATAAAGTGCATTTAAACGACATATTGTGCGGCAAAGAGACATCATCTCTCGAGTTGAGGATGTTGGTCAGGGCAGGACGAGTTTCCTCTCTGTGACTCGACCCGCCTCATCTGTCTGTTTCTCAGTCTTGCATTGCATGTAATGCGCACACAATGCCCGAGGGCTGCAGTGCGCATTGGCACATGTTGCGCACTTTGCTGTTCAGCGCGTTGTTCCTTCTTGAAGAAGAATAACGATCCTTCGTTGTTTGAGTGCTTCTTTTTTTGTTTTGTTTTCCGGATTCCACAAGACCAAGAAGAAGCATACCAAAAGCTTTCACTCAACTTAACTGGATGCAGAAACAATGAGAGTAATCTGAAGATCTTAATCAGAGAGATAAAGGTGAGTTAAACTCTTGATGATATTGCATTTGATCTTTTGATCTGGACAATTTTGTAATTTCTTTATAAATAATCACAAACTGTCACGAAACTCAGTGCCAAGGGAATTTTGACCTAACAAGCCACTTTATTTGCGTAATGGATACATAACACACCAGTGGAATAACAAGGCTGCAGTCCATAGCTCGAGTAGGTTAATTTGCCAATAGATACTCATTTTAGATGTCATGTCCAGCAGCAGGTTTTCACCTATCTTCACTTTTATAAGATACATAAAATAGATATATTTAAAAAATATTCACAGCATAATTTTTTATTCAAGGAGAATACTGTATGTATACTATATGGTTCATCTTTTTATTGGAAATCTCAGCCCTATGATATTAGAAGTCAATACATGCAAAGCCTGCAAACACACATATATGAAATCATCAGATATCACTTTGTAGTGTTAGGAGTGACTGACAGAATAAACTCATGAATGTTAAATTGTTATTTGTATATGGATCAATGTGCCCTTATTACAGCAATTCATGTGTGACATGTGTTGTATTTTCCTTTGTCTGTAAAACAGCTTCAGGATCAGTATGCACTTAATGAGACTTGCTAAATTAACAAATAAAAAATGTGCTGTCCTACATTAGGGATGTGGAATGTGTTAAATCTAATGCTAAAAACATAAATAATATTTTATTACACCCATTTAATCTCATCTCTGATAGCATGGTGGAATGCACAGTGGCCCGTGATTTCCAATTTGGGGCTTTCTGTATTTTTGTTCATCAAGACTTATCAAGCTAATTACATTTACAGTCATCAAGATTTCCTTGAATTTTTTCTATTTTCTTTTGCACTGCTCAGGAGTAGACCTCCTAATTTTAGCT